AACATTCTACAGCAAAGCACAGATCAGGCCAAGTTCAAAACAATGCAACAGAAAACAATGCATTGTTTTAATTAAAAAGGTAATTTGTCTATATGGATAGTCTCTTTGCTCTAGTGCTTGAAACAGCTAAAATCTCAGCACTTTTCTCTGTGCCAAAACAATTGGGAAGGCAAAGTTAAAATAGGGATGCTTAAACAAAGCACACTATAATTTACATGCCACAGCAAGAGACATCTATTAAGTATATGGATAAACCATTAAAAAGGAGTAGCTGACAAATGTATTTACAAACTACATATCTGCAGCTTTTAAAGCATCTATCTCAAAAATAAAACACAATGGGACTTTATACATGTCATCTAAACTAGATACTCATCGGCATAATGAAGAAAATGGTTCTACATATACACCTATAAACAACTTAAACTTAGAGAGGAGAAACAAATTTTTTAACAAGAACTATAAAGATAAAACAAATACAGTTCTATGCTCAAGGTACAGGCTTTGAGCACAAAGTTCAAAGCAGGGAATGGTTAAAGCCCATCAAACTATTATGCCATCTGTGCCCAACTGTAGAGATATACCTTCACTTCCTTTCTTGTAGATGCATTAGACAATTAAAGGAAATCTCTACAAATTAAGAGAAATACCCTGTTAGGCACTAGAACAAGTGTCCCTATCAGATTGCCTTCTATTCCTGGTCTAATGCCAACTCAAAAACCTCCCTAGTGAGGGCACAGACATTAAAAACATGAAAGAGCTTTCAACCCTTCCATTCTCTGCCATTTTTGCTAATGTGACTTAGGCAATAAAACAAATGTATGACACGTAACTATAAGCAGCTGTTACTTGACCTATCTGTAGTTTTAATATGCAGGTGACAACAATGGCACTACACTAAAACAGAAAACAAATTTAACAGTCTTACTAAAAATACAGATAGCTCTTTATCCACTCACACCAGTATGGGTTCAAATAGTGAATTCAATCAAAACAAAAAAAGAAATACCAATAAAAATGTTACATCATACATTAGTCAAAATAGAGTTCTTTGTGATAACACATATCTGCCAATTTTGTATAATGTTTTACCATAACAGTATGCAGTGCTACCATCTACACAGCCAATTCATCCCCATATTATACTGCCTTTCAAGGGGAGGCCATGTGAATACTCTGTGCATTGTAGTGTGCTGCATTGTCAAAAATAATGTCAGTGCATTTTTATTTTCATGCATTAAGGCTAGTTGGGAGCCCACTTAAAATAAATGAATTATATTAATGCAACATGCCTCAATGCACAAATACATGTAAATGAGTTCTTACTGAAGCACCAATGGAGAATCTCATCGAAAACTACTCCTCCGCTGACTGAAGCTGGACTCATGGAACTAGACTATAAGAGCTGTTTCCACAAATCCTACCAAGTTTAGCATATAATGCACAGAATAAAGAAATGCTGCTCTAAGTCATTAGCAATGTCTCATTGTTTGACTGGTTTTGTGTAAAAATCATTACAGTCTTTAAAGTGATAGCAAAAATCATTTAACTCCACTGTTTGAAAACTGACAAAATTACCATTTCTCTACTGTATTGGTTTATTTCAAAACATATACAATTAGGAGTGGGCTTTTTTTACATTGTAAAATATGCTTAGAGGGGCTCTGTTGTCAAGCAAAATACCTTCTTTCTTTGTCAGACCCACAAGCTGAACACTAATTTGATTGTGGTGAGGCATCTGCTCAGCATCAGTATGAATAAGGTGAGTGCCCTGGAACTTGAATGCAGCTTGAAAGTCAGACAACAGCAGTTTTGAGCAAACATTAGTTTAGCTTATTTTAGCTTTGTTTATAAAAGTAAAGTGGAAACAGGATCCAAAACTATGTATTACAAAAGGTCACACAAAGATTTAAAAACTTTTTTCAACTTTAACTGAGGCTTTATTTGAGCATTGACTGCCTTTACTGTGTTAAAACCTAATGTTGAAGTCAAAGATTCACTATACAAAGAATTTTTTTTTTACAAACTATAGCTTGTATTATGTTGTCATGGCAAAGGTATCCATCCTTCTAACACATAATTAAAGCAGTATTTTAAAATGTATAATGGTACAGAACAGGGATGTCCACTCTCCCCTTTATTATTTGTAATATCCATGGAACCGCTATTAGTGATGGTAAGAAAGAGTGTAGATGTAATAGGAATGAAGATAGGCGACCTGGAACATAAGCTAGGAGCATACGCAGATGACACGCTGTTTTTTATATTGTGAATTAACGTTACCTAATTTAATGACGTTTTTAAAATACTATAGAGAATTATCAAATCTGAAAATAAACCCCTCAAAATAAGAGATTTTGAATATTAATGTTTCAAAGATAGAGAAACAGACCTTACAAAAAGATTTCTCATTCACATGGAGGGAAAGGGAATTAAGTTATTTAGGAATAAAGTTAACTTCCTCAGTAAAGAACCTGTATCAGGCAATCTATATCCCACTAATAAATGACATAAAGGATGAGTTGAGGAGACTCTCAAGGGGATGGCTTTCCTGGATAGGTCGTTTAAACTTGGTAAAGATGGTGATAGTATCAAAAATCTTGCATAAGTTTTGCATGCTCCCAGTATACATACCAGGGTCTTTCTTTATGATATTGAAAAGAATTATACTCAGGTTTATATGGGTAAATAAGAAACCAAGAATTAAATATGAGGTGTTGTGTAATAATAAAGGGAAAGGGGTTAAAACTTCCCTAATTTTAGGAAATATTATATTTTGGTTATAGTACTGTAGATTGGACACATAACTCACAAGGGAAATGTTGGGTAAAAATGGAAGGCATATTAAGTAAGGCACAATTAGTGAGGATTATTTGGATACCACATAAGTTTCGTATAATGGATGAAAATACTAGCACTTTGACACGGAAGATATTAAGAGTTTGGGATGCATTGCACAAGCAAATGGGATAGAAGTAGAATTCAATACTAATTCCTCTGGTGGGAACAGAATTTTTTCCATCAGGGAAAGATAATATTTCAGGGAAATGGATAAAAGATAGAAATTCACGTTTAAAGGCTATAGTAGATAAGGGGAAACTATGCTCTTTTCAAGATTTAAAGCAGGGGTGTCAAACTGGCAGCCCTCCAGCTGTTGCAAAACTACAAGTCCCATCATGCCTCTTCCTTTGGGAATCATGCTTGTAACTGTCAATCTTGCAATGCCTCATGGAACTTGTAGTTTGACAACAGCTGGAGGGCCGCCAGTTTGTGATTTAAAGAGTAAAAAAAGATTTATTTTTCACATTAGATGAATGGCGGTAATATCAACTAGGACATTTTGTTGCAGTGCTCCCACAACCACTGAGGACGTTGGAGGACATGTACCCATTTGAAAAAATGTTGAGTTCAAATACAGTTCAAAAACATGCCACCTCTAGGATTTATAAGACCCTTATTGAATTAGTGACTCGCATGAAAAAAGGGAGAGAGGAGGCAGGAGAAAAGGGATATAAATATAGACAGAAGAATGTAGGAAGAACTAGAAATAAAGAGTATGGAATATGGGCAGGTGAAATTTAATGGGGGAAGGAGGGGGATGTAAAGATGTTGGGAGGGGAAGGGAATAGGTAAATTAAGTGAAAAATTTGTATTTTTGAATTGATTGATATAATGTTGATTTTTGTAGCAAAAAAAATTAATAAAATATAATAATAATAAATAAATAATTAAAGTGGTATTAAAGCCAAAAGTAAACATTTATTATGTCGCAGCTTACCAATCCTTAGATGTGTTGGCTGTATTAGTTTCTTTTTTTAGGCTTTCTTTCTACTATTTTCATCTGGTGAACCAGCCAGTAGATATGGTGGTATTTAAAAGAAGACGCTCTCAAGCAGAATGTATTAGATTACATGGATGAGACAAACCACTTAAAGTAGTTCTAAAGTCTCACGTTTTTTTTACCTTCATGCATTCTTCAGCAGCCCCCCCCAGCCTCCCTTAACACTTACCTGAGCCGCATCTCGATCCAGCAAAGTCCACGAGAGCCTCGGTTCTCCAAGGACTTTCACTCCTGATTGGCTGAGGCGGCAGCCATTGACAGCCAGTCAGCCAATCAGGGGCGGGAGGGGGTGGTGACGAGCCACAGCTGTGTGTGTGAATAGACGCGCAGAGCCATGGCTTGGGAACATGCCTGCTTGGGTGCCCCCTTAGCAAATTGCTTGCTGTGGGGGCACCCGACAGGAGGGAGGGGCCAGGAGCACCAGCAGGGGACCCGAGAAGAGGAAGATCCAGGCTGCTCTATGCAAATCCACTGCAGAGTTTGACATGTTTATTTATTTTAAAAAAAGCAAGACTTCAGTATCACTTTAACACTGCCAGAGGTGATGAAAATTATTAGCTTTTATTTATTCATGTAAAACCTTTATCCCAAAAGGAAAAAACTGTTTCCTGTAACTGATTAGAAAGTGTGAACTGGAGTTTGGCTTCCATTCTTTAGTGTATCTAAATTTGCTAATATATTTAACACTTCCATCTCCTACAGACTGATAATGGTGCTGTCTGCTGTGCCTCCTATCTCATTCCTCCAAAGTTGTGCCTCACTAATACAGGAGGTGTGTTACTGGCCAGATCACCAGGTGAGAACAGAGGGGGAAAAAAGCCAAAGAAAAGAAAACTGGTGCAGCCACCACATCTAATGACTGGTAAGCTGCAATATAATACATTTTCAGTTTTGGGATAAAGCATTGAAGCAAACAAGAGGAGAATCAAATAACCACTGCACTAAATAAATTAATTTACCTATTTTTGGTATGACTGACAGCATATGACTATGTAGTTCTGAGCAACTAAAAAAAAAATGGCTTTACATATCACACGTATCCTCTTTCTTAACCTCAAAATGTATATTGGTTCCTAATTGTGAAACTAAAAGATTCTAATTATGATTTTAACCAATGTCACTGAAAACAATCCCTTTATGCAATTGTTTTTGTACTTACCCATCATATCTCTTGTCTTCTTGAAATGTTTATACCACCTTCCAAATTCTTGACATTTTGCTGCTGAGACATTTGCATAGTAAGTGCTGTTCACAATGGAAGAAATCATACTCTGCACACAAAAGAAAAGGAAAACCAAATGAAAAAAAGAGGAATAAAGCACACAATGTGTCACAAGTAAAAAAAAATGCCAGTGTGACTGATTTTGAAAAAAACTGACAAGCAAATTTATTTTTTACAAATAAAATAAAAATTGAAACAAGCACCATGAATTCTATGTTGAATCTATTGTCATATCTAAGCAGTGTGAAAGCTGTGGCTGCAGAGTTGCATTGCATATGGGAACGCATATGAGAATAAATAAGCACAACTTGAATATATAATATGCTAACATACAACAATAAACTAAATTTACTTTACCATAACATTTACTAAAAAAACATCTGCCAGCAAAAACTTATATTTGTAAGTAGGCTATTAATGGAAAATGTATGCCTGAGATGAAACGATTACCTCTACCCTTTGATGACATTCTATAAAGACTGTCATTCTCACCAGTTCACACTTAGCTCTGATGTGTGCCAGGACTTCTTGGAGATGATTTCCTAAAGGCAAATAGACTGTTCACTTTGCAAAGGAAGTTGCACTTTGCAGGGGAATTTCTCCAGAGCTTACCGAAGAGGTGAAACTCTGCTGACTATCATTCAATAATGCACAAGCGAAAATGCTGTTCTTTTTTTACTACAATTTACAAGCCAACCTCATGCCCCATTTAATTGGGCAACTATGTGGCAAATGAAATTTAATGTTAATGAATGTAAAGTTATACACTTGGGGGCTTAAAACATGCATGTATCATACATTCTTGGGGGAGAAACACCTGGGGGAGTCAATAGGCGAAGAGGATCTGGGTGTTCTGGTAGATCTTATGCTTAAAGTGATTGTAAATGCTCTTTTTCTTAATAACAAACAGGTTTATACTTACCAATGCCATGGCACAGAGAGGCCCCAAATCTCCTCTTCTTAGATCCTTCTGTCGGCACTGTTGGCTCTTCCCATCTGCCGAGTGCCCCATAGAAAGCCGATTTCTATGGGGGAACTCATAGAGGCTCATTCCTGAGCCTCACTGTCTGCATCTGCTCCCTTCTCACTGGCTTTTATCGACAGCATGCCTCAGCAAAGACCGAGTGACCAGCAAGTGAAGGGAGAAAAAAAGCAGCAGACGTGCAAAGTGCTGAAAGCATAAGGGCTCAGGGTAGTGGGGGGGGTGGGGGGGCAGGTGTGAGATGGATACTGATGCCTAAACATTTTTACCTTAACCACTTGACCCCCAGGCCAATTCTGACATTTCTTTTATACATGTACAAATCTGTATTTTTTGCTACAAAATTACTTAGAACTCCCCAAAAATATATATTTTTAAGCAGAGGACCTAGGGTGGCTGTAGCAATTTTTTATGTCATGCAGTACATGCGCAGCGATTTTTTAAACACAATTTTTTTTTTAAATACACTTTAATGAATGGTAGTGCACACAAACACAATATAATACCCAATTTTTTTGATAAAATATAAAAGATGATGTTGTGCCGAGTAAGTAGATACAAAACATGTCACGCTTTAAAACTGCGCACGCCCATGGAAAGGCGACAAACGATGGTACAATAAAATTATCCACAGGCGACACTTTAAAGGAGAAGTATAGCCAAAGCTATTTTGGACTATATTTCTCCTGTAGATTTCAAGAGTGCAGTTAGTTCTTGTACTCCTGTGACTTGTTTTCAGCCCACAGCGGGCTAAAGTCCTCTGTCAGCTGACATCACTCATCCGGTTCAGGCTCTGAAAAGATCCCAACCATATGGTCAGGATCCACCTAGAAGCCTGGATGAGCACCTAGCTCAGCCTCTTATTTAGAGGCTCAAATTAATGAAGTGGTTTCTTAGCCGTTAAGAGTACTTTTACAGAAGAAAATTATAGCAAGAGATGTCACTGGTCGGCAAGTGGTAATTGCAAGGAATCCATTAAGGTAAAAAAATGTTTAGGCTTGAGAACCACTTTAAGAATAGTATGCAATGCCAAGCTGCAGTTTCTGATGCTAGCAAAATACCTTCTTGTATAAAAGAGGTATAGACTCCAGAGACAGGGAGACATACTTTTGGCCCTGTAAAAATCATTAGTAAGTCCTCATCTGCAATATGCAGTTCATTTCTGGGCACTTGTTCTCAAAAAATATATTGGAGAACTAGAGAAAGTGCTGAGAAGGGCAACCAAACTAATAAGAGGCAATGAGGAGCTCAGCTACGAGGAAAGATTACCTGAACTGAATTTATTCTCTCTTTAGAAGATAAGATTAAGGGGTATATTCACTTTTAGGTCTTCACAGAGGACAAGGGGGGACTCTTACATCTGGAGGGAAATAGATTTAACCACCACAAATGAAAGGCTTCATCACAGAAAGAACTGTGAAAATGTGGAATAATTGATCCAGGGAATATCCGATTGCCTAATGGAGAACAGGAAGGAATTTTTTTCCCCCCACTGGAGCAAATTGGATCATGCTTTTTCAACCGGGCTAACTATGAAACTATGTAACTGAAGCAAAGTGTAAGCATGCCCAGAAAAACATGTAACTGCCTCTCAGAGATTTACATGTCTGCATGACTTTCTACTGGAAGCTTTTTTTTTCAGGTTTTTTTTTAGGCTTTTCTTCTTTAGTTTCACCTGGTGATCCTGCCAGCAACACACTTCTTAAGGTGACAGCACTCATTTGCTCACTGTACTGTATCTGTTGAGGAGTAGCATTGTCAGGGCTACTGTAGGACAGGACTACAGAAAGTGGAGGAGGTGTTTTGTAGTAAACAGAGACAGCTGTAAACAATGCTGATAAGAGTGCAGCACAACCAGAGTGTACAGGACATTATCAGCTTACTAGATATCTGGCAGGATCAACAGGTATTGTTTTTGCATGTACTGAAAAGATATAACAAAACACTTTCAATTATATATTTAACAGACCAAAGGCAAGCAGTTAACTGAAATTTGTGGTTAGCATTTACATATACTTTTTTAAGATGTACGTTATGCATCCATTTGTATTTGCAAGACCAAACAATACACAGTTGCAATTTATAAAGTGCCCTTTCCCTCCTTTTAAAAAACTATATAAAAAAGGGGTTTCTACATGTGGAGAGCTACAATGCCACTAACAAGATGAATGAAACAGTACAGGCTATGCCCCAGATGGAATTAAATAATTTGTAGTTATCCAGAACTAGAGTAGTGCAGAAAAAAAAAATTCTATTTGATTTACCCAAACAAGAAAAACATTTTTTTTTCATACCGCTTTGCAAGTAAAATAAACACTGTGAGAAAAAACATATTTACAAATCTGGTTTACTAGTGTTTAAAGATTTCAAGCTCTATAAAGTAGAGAGGGCAACGACTGAAACAACTTATTTACACAATTATCTAAATACGATTAAACAGCTGATGGACAAATATTAAACTCGAAAATGTATAGTCATTTCAGCTTAATGTAATCCTCTCTCTGTAAACACCCAAGATGATTTTTTTTCCCAACCAGAACAGTCCTGACATCTCATAAGCCTAAGGGTGAATAGCAAGAGATTGTTTTCGATCGTTATAAATATTCAAGAGACAGGCAGACCATCTGCTTTCATAATACAGGTAAAAGGAAGGCTGGAATGGAGAACACTTTGCAAAATGGTTCTTTACAAAGTCTTCCCTTCCAAAAAATTTTAAAGACAGATGTCAAAACTGTTTAAACAGTGTAATCTGGACATTAGAAAAAGCAATATTTCTCCTGTATCACAGACGTCGATACCTCACCCATCTGTGTGGCTACAAATTTCTACAACTTGTCCATAATAATTTATACCAGGAAATTATATGGATATGTAAAACCAAGACTTTACAACTCTGCAAGACAAGTCATGACAGCTCAGGGCAATGTATCTAAAATACTGCCCACAAAGTCATTATTAAAGTACATGTACAGTATGCATGCAAACTGAGAAGTTTAATGGAACAGAAATGAACAGTTGTTGTTTGCACCTGCATAAGCTTTGCTTTATAGCATCATATGTGGCCACAAAAATTTTACTGGCTGATACCAGGCCCATAACTGGTAATTTTATAAATGCAAAGCAAAACTTTACTCTGGTGGCAAGTATCATGGTGAAAGAAATGTTCCTACTATTTTTCCATAACTTCATAATGATCCATGAAGGCAAATCAATAAGGCAGTTCCGAGAGTTCTCAGTATGTCCAGGAATATAAGTAGACAGGTACCATGAACAAAACAGTGCATACATAATAAATTAGTTCTACCAGTGATCAAACCAAAATAAAATAAATCCTATTTAATTAAACATATACCAGTTGAAGCTAAACTAATAAATATACGACTCCCTACAGACTCAGCTTTACTCACCTTACAAACTGGGGGGGATTTACTAAAACTGGAGCACTCAGAATCTGGTGAAGCAATGCATTGCAGCCAATCAGCTTCTAATTTCAGCTTGTTCAGTTAAGCTTTGATAATAAAAACTGGAAGCTGATTGGTTATTATGTTACAGCTGCACCAAATTTTGTGTGCACCAGTTTTAGTAAATCTCCCCCATTGTGTCCACCGTTGAGACAATGCGTATTTCAAAACTTCTATAATGACATACCTCCAATAATTAGTGCATTATGTGTGTTCTTCTTACACCCTCCACCCAGACACCTAGATGAAATCATCAAAAAGAGAAGGACCCCTTAGAACATTAAAGTAAAAATTCTGACTAGGTCTTAATGGAAAGACAGGCTATTTGCCCCTTTACCATTGATTACTGGAGAGGCCTCCTGAGCATGTTTCCCCCTGGACTAGACGCTAAAGTCTTTTGCTGGTGGCTAGATAAATGGTTATATAGAATTGGTCATTATTTCTCCCAAAGGGGACCTTTAACATTGCAGCATTGTTGAAATGTATTGGAGATGGCTCTTTCCAAAACATTCTAGTTCCACCAAATTTCACATTTTTTACATTCTACATGGACTGATTGTTCTGAACTGACATGCCTTACAAAAATGGTGTACACAAGATTTGGGT